CCTCCCATCTCAAAGAATAAGAATATGGACACAATGTATAGCACAACCTTTTAGAATACAGGAAATCCAACAGCACAGCAGAGATTGGGAATAAAAAGATTGGCTTAGTGGAAGTGAGGAAGGAAGGCAGACACCTAATTTCAATACAGGTGGGGCATCTGATTGATACATATATGAGAGAGAAAGAAATCAGACATAATCTCTTAATAAACTATTCAATCTCTCAAATACCATTGTTAGAAAAGTTGAAAGGAAATATTGATGGGCTCTCTTGAATCCATAGGAAAAAAAAAATGTATCTGCATTTGGAGTGGGTGAAGGAAGTTGATTACTGACTGTCCAAGAATGCATGTCCCAGATTGGATTTTATTCTAGTACAATCTTGCACAACAGGAGATCTACAGCTGTAAGCCCTAAGATTCAATGTGATTTCTAACATTATAATTAATTTAAGAGTTAAAAGGGCTTAAAGTGAGAGATTAAAATGTAGTTCAATTAGGTGGGAATCATGGTAATAAGTTTATTTCATAAACAAATATTAAAATGGTAAAAATATATGTATATTGTAGATTATATACCCATGAAGTCATATGGAGTTTGCAACCTCTTCAATGGGAGACCTGACTCCTTAAGTTATCATTTTTTCATGATTTTGTGCATTCCAAAATACAAAAAAAACTTCTGAAAGGGAGAGAGAATGGAAGCATATCAAAATTACAGTAATTAGGAACCCAACCTTCTGTATATAGACAGTTACTGATGAGCTACAGAAACCTGTTGGGCTCTCAAGATGTTGGACCATGGGAAGATTTGCCCTGTGACCAGCAGGGGACACTGTGGGGCTATCTTGTGGTCTCTACACAGCTGCTCAGTAAGGACCATTCACTCAAAGGAGTCCTGGTCTGGAGGAGGGGCCCTGTGTTAACTAAAGGGGACTTATCAGTGTTTTAACTCTTGCAAAGCAGGGTCCCCTGGTCAGAGAACTATGTCTTGTCTCAACAGCCCTTCCTCCCAAGGTTCCCCCAAGTGGTAAAAGAAGCCTTCAATCTCTTGAGTCTGTAGTTTGAGTTGAATTCTAGCACCTGAATGAAGTGGGGTGGGGTGCCTGGGGCAGTCTCGATGGAAACATTTGCATGATAGCCCCTCCTCTGCAGAAAGGGGGAAAGAAAAAGAGATCTGTGACAGTTCACCTCCACTGTGGGACATAGGAAATTGTGTCTACCATGGCCTGGACTCCTTTTCTCATCCTGCTGCTCTCTCACTGCATAGGTAGGAAAGACCTTCATTAAGCAGTTCTCTATTCACTGTTTGCATCAACTCTTCAGGTTTGGACCTAAGAAAAGTTTCACCATGGATACTATCTTCCCTATTTTTCTCTGTTTGTAGGATCCCTCTCCCAGCCTGTGCTGACTCAACTACCATCTCTCTCTGCATCTCCGGGAGCATCTTCGAAGCTCACCTGCACTATGAGTAGTGGCTTCAGTGTTGGCAACTACTGGATCAGTTGGTACCAGCAGAAGCCAGGGAGTCCTCCCAAGTATCTCCTGAGCTACTACTCAGAGTCAAGCAAGAACCAGGGCACTGGGGTCCCCAGTCGTTTCTCTGGATCCAAAGATACCTCAGCCAATGCAGGTGTTCTGCAGATATCTGGGCTCCAACTTGAAGATGAGGCTGACTATTACTGTGCATTGTGGCACAGTGATGCTTTTCACAGTGAAACAGGCAGATGGGGAAGTTGGACAAAAACCAATTTGCCACAGACTCTGACCTATTCACTCATGTTTTGATATTAAAATACATTAATTTATACAACTATAAATCTCTCTCACACTGCACTTCTTCCCCAGTGTTTCATAAATAATTATAAAGACTGAAATAATCCTCAAGCCAATGCAAAAAGAAACTAGAGCTAGAATCTGAATAGTATTTTACTGGCATTCTATAAATGATCAAATTCTGCCATATCCAGAAGGCAGCTCCCAATGAAGTCTTCTTCAGTTCTTGAGTGCGCCAACGTGCATCCTGCACTCCAGCACCCCCTTCCCAACTTTTAGACTTCACACTGACTCCAAGGACCTTTCTTAATACAACTCAAGGTTCACAGCAGGGACAGCTCCAGGCCTTGCTCAGAGTAGTGTGAAAAAATAAAATTAAATAAAGACAAGATTTCAATATGATTGGTGTGAGAGAAAAACATTCAAGGAATAACTGACTGAGAGTGATGAAGTTTAAAGATTTTGTCATTTAATAGTTTGCAAAGTCAAATACAGTCCAGTCAGGAGAACCTGCTATCAAGGTCAGGGGTGGTATAGATTCATGAAAGGCTGTAGGCAGAATGTGCAGCCCCTTGGTCTTGGCATCCTGTGAAAGGGGAGGGGCCCTCAGCTGTCAGGAGTGGGCACTTTCTGCCTATATTTCTCTTTGCGCTTTCATTGTGATTCACTGCTAGAAACTGAGTTCCTTGAGAATTTGGACTTTTTTTCTCATTTGTCACTGCCTTCTAAACAGCCTGATGGATGCCACAAAGGACAAAATCAATATGTGTTTGTTAAAATGAATATTCACCTAGGAAGGAATCCCAAGGATGAGAGTAGATTTAAGGCAAAAGTCTTGATTTCTGGATATTCTTGGCTTCAGTTGTTTGAAGAAAAGATGATAAATAGGAAACTTGACCTCAGGAGCTGGAGAACAGGAGAGATATATGGAGAACTGTGTCCTGTTGAAGGTGACCAGTAGGAAAGACTAGATCATATGAGTTCAGCTGGAGACAGTGGAGGAGGATTTGTTGTGCCTTTAGGTTCTGAGTAAAGAAACCACAGGAGCAGGTGGATAATGGAGATAAGTCTGAGCACAGAGGACAGATCCCATGAGCTTATGCACCACATAGCAGAGAAGAATATATGAACACCTAGTAACTTTGAAATTATCTCAGAGCTACTGGGTTATGCATTAATAAAATGTTAAACAGAGATATTAAATAATTCATTACAATATAAGAAATCTAATATTCAACCACTCAATTCACAGTCTCACAAAAAATTCTTATAGGGTAATTTTAGAAAAAGAAAAAGAAGATGAATAGATGATTCTGTAGTGGATGGAGGGGCTGGTTGAAGAAGCGAATGATTGGTAGAGAATGTATGTGCCATTGTGGACCTGGTTATTATATATAACATGGTGTTTGATTAAACCCTGAATATGCAAATGATACATTCTATTGTGGTTTTGTTCACTTTACCAAATATTAAAAGAGCTAAATTTACTGAAACATGGAAGTATAAATACAAAGCAATTGACAAGTGAGTAGTTGAAATCCATTGATGAATTCAGAATGAATGAAACATAAAAAATGTTTGCATGTTTTTAAATTTATACTAGAAAACTACATTTATTTTGCTCTCTACAAATAAACCCTCACATTTCGAGTAACAGAATTAGGATTGCTATTTATTTATTAAGTCTTCTTTATTGAAAAAAAAATCTAAAAGAAATGACAGGTTAATGGAAGCCACAGGATATATGGGAATTCTCTTCTTTCTATAAAATTTTTCTGTTAATCTAAAACTATTTTCAAAAATAAAGTGCACTAATTCAAACTAGATATGATGATAGATTCGTAGACTTTCTGGAAGATGTAGTTAATGAGAAGACAGTACCAAAATATATGATGGTTCTCCAGGACCTGAGCAAAGACACCACAGAAGTAGGTGGATTGTGGTAAAAATTCTGAGCAGAGAAGATGTAGTCCATGAGCAAATATAATGCAGAGCAAGGGGAGTTGTATGAATATCTTGTAATCTTTATTTTAACTAAGAGCTGGTGAGATATTCATTAACAAAATGTCAAATCCAGAGGTGAAAATCCATCATTTAACTCCCCCAAATTGCAATATTTAAGATCTCAACCCACAATCCCACAAATTATTCTGATGCAAGAACTTGTACATAAATAATGAAGGACTTTGGGGCTTGTTGTCACTTGAAAGGTTGTTTTTGCCTTGATTAAAATGTATAAAGGTTGGAAATAATTAATTGGCAGAAAGGATATGTGCAGGATTGGAATACATTCTGTACAATATGGCATGGGAAGAACCCACGTGATGAAAACCTTTAATTCCCTTATGTTTCTGTCAATGTATTCAGTACTGAAACTATTGTATTATCTAAAATATAGATTAAAGCACACATCAGTTTATATTGTAGGAGTTGGAATTCAACTACTGATTCACAGTGTGAGAAACACCAGTTATGTATATTCATTCTAAATTATCATAGAAGGATATTATTTTTACAACATCTTTAATGAGTTGCTAATACTTTGTGCTTAATTGTATGTTCACACCTTCTAACAACAACTACAGCTACTTTAAGTGGAAAAATACAGTATTCACATGCAAAGAATTGGTAGAAAATTATCTAGAATTCAGACCATACTTGTTTGTATGGAGATGGACCTAGTGAATTGCAGAAACCAGCTGGGCTCTCATCTCTGGGCCAAGAGGAACTGTGACTGTTCTGTGACTGTAGGGTCTACTGTGGAACTGCCCTAATGTCCCTACACTGTAGAGAATCAGACATGACTGCGAGCGTGCTTGCAAACGAGATGCCCTGCTGTCATGGTGGAGCTTGCCTGCAAACGGGATCTTCTACCAAGAGGGCTAGGAGGGCTCTAAGAAAATTTTTATCTGTTCTTAACAAAGAACAGCATTCAGAATACTCTGGCCCAAGAGTAGATTAAGCCATGAGAAGCATGTTACTTCTGATTAGTAAATTACTTCTGTATACTATGTTTAGCTAGCTTAAAGACCTGAGTCATTGCTGTTGGAATGCTGCCTTCTTTGTTCATGACACTATAAAAAGACTGCTGAATTCAATAAAGGGACTGCTTCTTCTGTTTCTTCTGCTTCTTCTTTCTCGTTCATGCTGACCTGCGTATGAGCTATCTGTGGCACTACACACCTGCTCAGTAAGGACCTTTCACTCAGTACATACCTGATCTGAGTTCCACCCTGACAGATGGAAATTCTGGAAGATCCCCTGAATAAGGGTGTGGGATTTTTTTTCACCAGGATTCCCTTAAGGGACATCCTCCTGAGTCTGCAATCTGAGCTAAACTCCAGCACCATGGCTCAAGGAGAGGCTAGGGAAGTCATAGTGGAAACACATTTGCTTGAACAGCCACTCCTCTCCAGAAGGTGGAAAAGAGAAGCAGAACATGGGCTCAGCAGCTCCACTATAGGACCCAGGGGGCTGTGTTTCCATACCTTGGACCTCTTCTGTCACTAATATTTCACTGCTTAGATGAGGACATGCTTTATAGTCTTTAATCAGCTTCTCTGTTTCTTTCATTCCTCTTGTTCAGACTCCCAACAGTTTAAATGTGGACTCTGCTTCAGCACTAATGTTTACCTTATTTTGAAGCTTCTCTCTCTCAGTGAGTACTGACTCAGCAGCACCCCCAAAGCCTGGAGCATTTTCCAGACTCACCAGCTCCCTGAGCAGTGGCTATGGAAAAATCTGGTACCAGCCGAAACTGGAAATCCTCTCCAGTATCTTATCAGCTACAAATCAGACTCAATTAACCATGAGAGATCTAAAGCCCCCAGCTACTTCTCTGGGTACAAATAAACAAAAGCAAATGCAAAAGATCTGCTCCTGTCTGGGCTGGGCTAGAAAATGAGGCTGATTATTACTGTGCTAGAGCTCATGGCAATGAAAGCTTCTGTGGAGGTGCCTGTAGTGTAGACTTTTCTGCAGCAGGATACGTTCTTGAACAGGAGACTTATGTCCATGTCATATCAGTAACCTGAGACAAAATAGGACATCTCAGGAAGGCACAGATGAATGAGAAAATAGAACCTAAGGACATATCTCGATTGTCTCTGCAGTAAAGAAATAAGAATCGATAATATAGTCAGCAATTAGAAATACAGATGAATGTAGACATGTTCATCCACAAAGCAATTTCACCATCATATTCCATAAAGTAAAAATTATGTCTCACTAGAGACATGTCAAATCCTGTTGTAGTGGCCCTTATGTTGGTCATAAATTCCCCATTGTCTGAACCAGCCCACAGGTCCAGTGGACACATCCTTGTGGACTCTCACTGATGCCATCACTCAGACACTCCCTTCCTGTATCTCTTCTGCTCCTTCCCTCATCAGGCCTCTGTCTGGCAGTGTCAGATCCTCACCAATCTCCCCATTGGATTTTAGAGACACATGAGATGCTTCAGTTTAGTTTCATTCTTCAATTTCCATCTGTAGGGAGGAGGGTCACCAGAATTCAGACCACCATAAAAACCTCTAATTTCCTTCCTATGCTTGTTACATTCCTGAAATTCTGTTCTCTTTAGTATGACCATATAATTAATTTATTATAAAAAGGTATTTTTATTGAGCTGCTGAATACCTACATGTAGAGGCTGTTGAATTTTTTTTCTTCCTTTAAGTTTTGTCTAGTTTTTCTTACATTTTCCATTTTTATTTCTCTGTGCCCAATAAGGCCCTACACAAGGTGAGTTTTGAACTAATCAACAGAGAGAGGTGGGAATCAACTCTTATATAGGCAATTATTTTCCTTCAGCCCCAGAAGCTACGTTTACAAAGATGACTTAAGACAGAACTGTGCTCACTGCAATCATTTTGCTGAGGTCTCTGAGGTTTCATTCTTTATTGATCTTGCAAAACATCAGTAAAGTATCTCTCCTAGTTCCCATAAGACATCTGGGGACCTGAGTGCTACAGTAGTTCATTGCTGTTGAATTGGGGGCAGGGAATAGGAATAAAAGGGTTGTGTTTTGAATGTCTACCCTGAGCTTCTAAGCCCTGAGACCCCTGAACCTGTGGGACTTGTGCCTGTATCCCACACCTGCACTTAGGAGAGGGCAGGCATCCCTCACTCCACAGGGTATGTTCTCCAAGTGGAATTTATAGCATGTGCCTATCTGTGTCCAAAGCTCTCCTCTACACCAACCCTAAAATGTATTTTAATTGATGACATGCCATATCATAGGAGAAAAACATTTTGAAAATCATAATCATAAGTTCTTTTAAATGAGTAAAATTTAGTTTCTGGAGAAATTTCGTTTGAATTTTCATTTTCCAAATAATCTAAATATGCTTAGTGAATAACAGGGAGAGTCTAGACCTTAAATCCTTATTGATTGGCAGACATGTTATCAGTAAGTGGCAAAGAACATTTACATACGGGATACACCTCACTTTCTATATTTCTGTAGAAAGCAAACATCTTAATGACAAACCTAAATAAATTCTGAACCACTGAAATCACCATTCCATTTAATACATCCCAAAGATATATGTAGCAAAGTCCTGAAGCAAATACGAAGTTTATTTCAATCATAGAACATGAAACCTGGAAGAGTCTTGTGGTTTTAATGTATTAAAATTAGCATTTCTATTTTCTTCTCAAATTTCAGATCCTCCTGGTTATCTTTGTATTACAAACAAACATGCATAATCAAACCTATATATAGACACTTTATTGACTAATTTTGACTACTGACCATAACATATTTTATTTTATCATGAATCTTTATTCCTAATATTAGTGGATCTCTTGAAACAACAAAAATGAAAGATTTGAAAGGAAATGATAATATTAATGAAAATTTAATAAAATAATTATGAACAATTTAGAAATTGTTTTTAGTTAAAAATTATGAAAATTATTTTTTAAAAACAAAGCTTATTTCACAAAGAAATTGAAGGAGTTTTATTTCTGAACTCCCCAATTTCCTTATCTAGCATTTCTAATCATCTTCAAATGTGAAAGTGTCTTAAAAGTGGTAGAGATGCTCACACTAATATGATGAGAAATATTCTTAATTTTGTTTTCAAATATGATGAATATGGTTTTATTTTTTCTTATTTTTGATATTTGGAAGAATACCCCCACTTTCTCTCAAATTCTGCATTTCTACTTGTGTAAAGCCATACAACTGATTGCTTCTTAGAGTGGAGGCAGGTGGCATTCCCGACCCTGTTGTGTTGCTGTCTGTGTCTGAAATTTCAACTCTGGGCTCCACTGAGGCTGCTTGAGACAGTCCCCAGGAGTCATTCAGTGGAAGAAGACTCCTATCTGTGGAACTGACCAGGAGCTCCCCACAAACCTGGCTCTGGAGTATCAAAATGGGATCTGTTCAGAGGAAGAAGGGCCTGACAGTTCACTCAAGGAAAAAAAAAAAACATTCATTTCATGGACCTGAAAGAAATATTCACCAATAAGGGATGGTTTGAAATTATATAGTTGAATTAGGTAGATATGGAGAATTCATCCTTGTATTTATTTTATCTCTGAATTTCAAGTCATTAAATTTAGGCATGTGTTGAAAAAATGTGGGAAATCCAATCTGGGGAAAGGTATCATTTAAAACTCATGTGTCTCCGTTCTCCAGAAGTCACTGGTCTATGTGAGTTCCTAGCATCTGCCTCTTTCATGATCTCCTCCAGGGAAATTCAGGATGAACACTGGGACAGGAAAAGAAAGGAAATTCAATTTGCCTAAAAAAACCTTTTCTCTGGGTCTGAAGAGGCTTGAAAATGACCTGAGGACACTAAACTCACAGTAAGAAGTGTGAGGACACAAAGCAATTGTAAGAATCCCTACCATGGCCCAGATGATGGTTCTACTAGTGTTTCTCCTCTCTTATGGTTCAGGTCAGGGGAGGGGCACTGCATCCTGGGGATGCACAAAAGCTGTGTCTCAGGGGGACCTTTGTCATAATAACAATAACTGTCTCTCTTATTGTTTTTACTGGCAGATTCTCAGACCATTGTGATCCAGGAGCCCTCACTTTCTGTGTCTTCACATGAGATGGTGACATTCACCTGTGGGCTTAACGAGTCAGTCTCTACAGGTACCAGCAGAAGCCAGGAAATGCTCCCCTCATACTTCTACTGTCTTTCCTATTCTCATCCCTCTCCCTTCCATTCATTCTCCTTTGTCTAATACAAAGTACTTCTATACTTACCCTCCTTACAATTCCTTGCTATAGATTAACACTCACATATCAGAAAGAACATTTGGCATTTGGCTATTTAGGATTGGCTTATTTCATTTCACATGATAGTCTCAAGTTCCATCCATTAATCCACAAATGGCATATTTTTTCTCTTTATGGCTGAGTAATATTCCATTGTATAGCACATTTACTTTATCCATTTTTCAGTTGAAAGACATCTAGTTTGATTCCCTGGTTTAACTATTGTGAATTGAGCTGCTATAAATATTTATGTTGCTGCATCACTGTACTAATTAATTGCTTGGGCTACAAACCAAGGAGTGAGATAGCCTGGTCAAATGATAGTTGCAGTACAAGTTTTCTGAGAAATCTCCATGCTACTTTCCAGAGTGTTTGCAACAATTTGCAGTCCCACCAGCATGAGTTTATTTTCAATCTGCAATTTTTTTCTAAAAATTTGGTCATTTTATCTAACTTGTTTTATCCTGCTTGGTGTAAAGACTTCAAATATTCTGGTTTCATACTTGGAAAATAAATTAGAGAAAGTATAATTAAAAGAAAACTCTGTATGTGCTGGTGTCTTGGGTACACTAATGAAGAAGAGGACAAATAAACTTCCTGATCTGCAGTGAGTAGAGAAGATTTTTTTGTCTTGTTCTTATGAATTGAAGGGCAAGTGTGCTTGGTCTTTGTAAAATAAAATCTGCAGGAAATTAATAGCAGTTTAGAGAAACATGTGAAGATGGAGAAATAAAATTTTATTAAAACTATGCAAAAGCACAAGTGGAGTTACATTGCCTATTTCTCACAGGTAGAGGAAGAAAAGAATGAAGGAAGAAAGGAAGAAATAATTATTAAATTTTAACATATTGAACTTTCATAAATTTGAATGATTTGATAATGCACACATTCTATGTATAATTTATTTTTTAAAAGTCTATAAATCAGAAAATGTAAGCTATATTTTCAAATTGCTATACTATAATTTAATAAATATAAAGAATCAGATTTCACAATGTAAACAATTTATCTTCACTGACTATCACTGGGCTCCAGCCTGAGGATGAGGCTATTACTGTCAGTCTTATGACAGTAGCCTCGGTTCTCACACAGTGCTCCAGGCTCATGGGGAAGTGAAGCAAAAACCCCTTTCCATCTGTCAGAAGGGCCAACACCCAGCAGCTTTTTTTTAGGTCTAGTCTCTTATTTTTTCTGCTACTACTAATATAGGTCCAGCAGAATCTACTGGCAGTTACTTGAGTGAGAAGCCTCTTGTCTTCTGTCTTCTGAATCATTCACAGCAGGATGTTCCTAGGAAAACTTCTCCAAATAAAGAGAAATTTTTGCTCCTCCCTAGCTTAAGGGCCTGAATATTTAGGATGCTGTGGTCTCATTTTTATGAAGTTCGGGTCATGAGGAAGCCACTGCAAGCCTGGACATCTCAGACTTGACATCTGAGGGGTAATCCTGTGGTTCCATCATTTTCCCTATCTACATGAATTCTAGGCCTGTGTCTTCTTCTCCTTAGCCCTCGTCTCCTGTGATTTATACTTTTACCCTAATTTTATATAAGTTTTTTTTTTAAATAAAATATTTGGCACACAATAAAACACTCATAAGTGAAAACTTTGACAAATTTTGAGATACTTTTTACACCTTTGGGAACGTCAGCACAATCAAGCCAAGGAATCTGTCCACCAGCCCACAAGCCTACTTTGACCTTTGGGAATCATCCCTCTATCTCTGAGGCAACCACTAATTTTCCCTCTGTGAATATTGGTAAGGTTTCCTTATGTATTTTTAACACAGAGAAGATATCTCTTCTTGATTGATGTCTTCCACTCTATAAATTCCTTTTCAGACATTTCCACATTTTATTGAATTTCCATTGATTCTACTGAGGACACATCATAATCTTTGTGGTCCCTGAATATTGCTGTATTGATCAACAATTTTATCTGCTCACATGTATATTAAAACTTTATTTTTTACTCCATCAGTATAGACAGCAATATAATCCAGCCTTGATTGTATTGAGTGTATGATTGACTGCCTGGTCTAAGAACTTTTCTTCAAAAATTGTTGGAAAACAAGCAGAAACCCTTTTTCTTTGTTATCTGCTCACAGTTCACTGAACTAAGCATTTCCTCATGGGGGCATGTCTAGATTTGCCCTTCCTCTTCTCACTTTGGAGAGTGACTGTCCTGATTCAGGGCTTGTGGTGGACTGAGATTGAAGGCAAGATAGCTGACATGCATGACTTCCAGGGAGATACTTGGAGGCAGAAGACCATTGGGAGGGCAAAGTTCTTGCAGTATATACTCAGAGTTTTGGAGGTGTCTCTTACATTGTAGCACCTCTGCAACTGCACTACAATTTCTGGAGCCAATCTGATGACAAGAAACTTCCTAAGACAATTATTTCCATATGCTGATTACAACAGCTGACACATCAGAGAGGCTCAGGACAGGGAGAAGTGGGGAAGGCATAGATTTTCAATTGTGTCTAGGCTTGTGGCACATCCATGAGAAAACATTCAAAAGCCATTTTTGTACATGTACTTCCTGTTGAGCCTTCAAATCAAGTTTCTGAAGTTCAGTGAGTTAAAGAAGAAATGAGTGACTTTCATGTTTCTCTCTTAATCTCATGTCATCTGAGATTCCCAGGGGTTATATCTAATGACTGACAAATACCTCACACTCCAAGGACATCTAAGGAGTATGCCAAAGATAGCAAGATATGGACCTGGGACATTTTTTTTCTTAGATTCTTTCAGGGACAAAAAGTGGATTTGAGTAGTTTTAGCTAAGAGACAAAACATTTTAAAAATCCAGGTCATCTGAGTGTCACTGTGTGTTCTAAGTGTACATGCTTTCTCTTACTTTAAAACCTACTGAATGGAATTCAAGGGACATGCACAGAATCCCAGATTGTCCCTTGTAGATTTGGGGCACAATAGTCAAATATCTGAACAATCAAAAAGAACCAGGGCCTTTACCATGAGATGAGCAGAGTCAAACAGAACTTGTCACATCTAGAACTTTCTCTGTACAAAAATTAACTGGAGAAAAATGTCAAGTGAGTGCTCCCTCCCACACACAGTATATAAGATATACATTGGAAAAAAATAGGTATCCTGGAAAACTTTAATACTCCCCATGAGAACTACTAGAGGGCCCTTATGTGAACTCAATAGTAGGTCAATTGATGAGTGCTGCTCTGGGTGGTCCTGTGGTTAGAATTCACCTCTCTCAGTGTGATGGTAAAATTTGATTTCTGGGAAAACTTTCAGGGAAGACATTCTTTTGCCAGCTGTGGTGGTACATGCATGTAATCTCAGATACTTAGGAGGCTGAGGCAGTGGGATAACAATTTGGAGGCAACCTTCAACAACTGAGGAATAGCCTGTCTCAAAACCAAAAGAAAACAACAAAACTACTATAGAGAAGACACTCAGCCTAATACACAATTTGGGACATCAATATTGTTTCTGCTTATCAATGGTTATAAACATTGGTTTGGTGAGCAACTTAAAAGGTGACCAGGAATTGGTTGAACATAAGACTTTACATCAAATGTGTGCACATATAGTGTCGTGGTTTACAAGTTTCCAAGTTCTTTTGAGTGCCAGACATAATTCTCTGCCTCATTGAATGGTTCCGTGGCTCAGGGTCTGCTTTGCCCGAGGAAGTAGAATCAGAGGAGTCCTGTGCTACATCAGGACAATAGTATGATAAGTTGCAGAGCTACTTTCCTCCTT